GCCTTTTAGCAAGTACCTAGGCTGTTAGTATGGTAAGTTACAACGTCACGAAAAAAACTGTTTGAAAAGTTAGGCTGAGGGTCTAGTTAAATTGAGGTAAACGCAGTTTTTCGTACTCAACTCCACCTGGTGCCTTACTGAACGGTTCACTACCCCTGATAAATCCACTGTCATGCATATTAAGCTGAAAATAAAAATGATCATTTAAAAATACAATCAAGTTTGGCATATGTCAGAGGCACTATTAGCCATATCTGAATGCATTTTCTGGAAGCTAGTAAAATTCCATTTGAAGCATGCCACATAAATTTCGACGCTTTTAGGCACACGTTAGTAAACTATTCAGTATTATAACTTTTAAAAATATTCGACACAGTGCTTTGTGTGTTGAGACAAAATAAATTTAATTGTTAGGAATATTATACCAAAGCTTAGCAAAGTTATCAAAACTGGAGGGCAAGTTTTCCAAAGTCGAAAATTTTTCCATTTTCTCCCATATTATTCAGGGCAGACAACATTTATCAGTAACGCAAATGGTAAGTGTTAAATACTAAGTTATGTTCAAGATCGACAGCACCTTGTCAGTTTTTTGAATAAGATTGAAGGCGGCGCTTCCAACTCTTCATGATTATTTTTAGACTTCAAACCTAAATGCTCCCTTTACGAAACCTTCTTGTTGATCTGATTTTATGTATTGATGTAAAAACGTATTTTTGAAGGCATATACTTCAGCAGTATACTTTTGAATTTCCTAACGAATAGGCCGGGGCCACTTTGGTGTGGTCTACAAAATGCGAGTCTCCGAGGAGGGTCCTGAGGTGGCGGTTAAGGAGATAAACCTCACACAACCCGATATTGATCCACATCGCATCCTCAATGAGAGTATTTTTGGGGCCAAAGTGGGTGACTGTCCGTATGCCCTAAAGTCATATGGTTGTCTCCTGCATAACGGAACTGTACGACTCCTTATGGAAATTATGGACAGTACTGTGGACGTCCTTACTCATGAGGCAAGAAATGGTCTCTTGTAAATCAAAAATCCTGCTACTTAATCTAACGGAAATATTTTTCTCAGTTATAAGTGCTTAAACTTTGTCTTTTTTGCCTACTAAATAGACAGCTGATTTGTCAGGTGTCGGGAAATTATACCTAATTTTCACTCTTGTGCACATGTTATGCCTTTTCCTGAACAATTCATAATTTCATTGTGGAGGAGAAGGGCCTAGTCTTTCAAATGATTACTCTCCTTCTTCTATTACAGTTATAAATTTTGGTAAATTATTACTTAAAATTTCGCTGAAATGAACGTCATCCAAGTCACATTTATCTTCTGAAAAACATTTGAATTACAAGACTTTGAGATCTTCTCATAAAAATATAAAAAAATTGTGCCGTCAACTACTTTGTATATCATGATACCTGTCAAGGCCTCCTCTTACGTACATCACGTACAAATTGGTTGAGATCAAAACACGCTGTTATCCTACTGAAACTGATGCTCTCCTAGAAAGTTTCGTATTCCAATCCGCCAGAGGCAGTTAGAAATAAATAGTTTTATAATGTGGGTACCTCCACATAACTGAGCATTTTGAAAAGATTCTGGCTATGCATAGTTCAGGAATGTTATACTTACCTTTCTAATACCAATTGTTTCGCATTTTTGTTGACTTTTATATTATCATATACTGGCGCCCTTAAAGTTAGTATACATTCTTGTGAGTATCTTGTAAGTAAATGTAACCTTAAAGAAATAATCAACGCATAACATAGAAAGTATCATTTTGAAGTTGTTTAGCTTGCTTTAATCCTGCACTTGAATATGGAGCCGCCTACGGGCAGGCGTTTGGACAGGAAAGATCTTAAAGTCTCCAATTGGGATATTCATGAGAACTATGAGACATCTTCCTGAAGAGTTAAGCTAGTTGGACCACAGGCCAAAAACCTATGTCCACAGCACTCCACTTCTCCCCACGCCGACTCATGCAAGCACATCCGAAAACTATTCACAACCACCTTGTTTAGTTACAGAGAATTTCCTAAGGTTTTTACAAGTATTTGAGCTGCGAATCATCAGCTAATGCGGATTAATTGCTTAAGTGTCATAAGCCGCCACTAGCCAGTGATATCCAACTACGCAATTATTTACCATACTAACAGCACATGTTCTCGTTAAAAGTCCAGACACGCCTATTTCGCCAACATTTTGTTGCTGCGAGATGCAGCTGCACGGATTTCGGCTCATAAGTCGGTAGATTAACTCCACTTTCAGTGAGACACACGTGTCACGATTTTAAGCTGTTATTATGCTAGTAGTATTTAGATCCACGACGACTTACTGCATCAGTGCACGCTCTCAGCATGCCATTTGAAATAATCTGTGTGCTATAAAGTGACAATTTAATCTATTGGTGCTGTTAAGAGGCGGAATGTTGAAACATGCGATTTTCTTCCCGCCTTCGTACAGACAAACGTATTGGGAGAAATCGTTCCGGAACAGTTCATCGCCTACATCATAAAGTGTATCGTCACCGGGCTAGAATTCCTGAATCGGGAGTGCAATATTCACCATCGGGATGTGAAGCCTTCGAACATGCTGGTGGACCGCAGCGGGCAAGTAAAAGTGAGCAGCTTTGCAGCCTTTTAATTAGCCTGCCATATTTTATCCTTTACCTCCATTATTCTCTGTGCCCGCGACAGCCTTTTTTGCTTTTAAATTTGCGCAACATTTGCAACATATTTTATTTCATTGAACTGATATTAATGCAACATCTTATGAAGCCTTTGTAGCCCTGGACATTTTTCCAACATCCAAACCTAGTAGACATAGATCGAAGAATTTCAAGGACTGCCTGGAACAATAGCTCTTTCTTTGCAGGTAATATTCCAGATAGATAACTGGGATGGGCGTAACGCATACTACATTAACACTTCACAGGCTAGCACTGGAAAGCTCCCCCTCGCTTTTTTACTAGCCCGGTAGCCCCCCTTTCACGGCTTCTACCATCAGGCACCAGGCATTTTTGCTCGCAGATCCTAATGAGATCAGTGTGTGTAGTGCGCGGTCAGCTCAGTGTGTTTTGTGTTATGTGGAATAGTTGACTGGCGGCCTGAGAGTCAGGCTGCAATGGCTCCTTCTTAATGTGGCCTTTATAACACCCACTCAGTTGGGATTCGAGTTTCCCCCAACCTTTCTGTGGTTTTCTTAGCTGTGGTGCTCCACAGTGCGTGGGCCTGTGCCCCTTCCCGTCTCCGGTCTCCTTGGCCTTGCCTAGACACCGGAACCGGGTAAGGCAGTCGGGGTAGGTGCAGCATAAATCTATTCTCACGATAACCTAGCGTCAGTCACCGTCCCTGCACCATCGTGCTGTGGAGCACACGGTGAACATCGTCGAACTGGACGGTCGAACTGTGGTCTATTTCAGTAGGACAGTTTTCTGGCGGAAAGTATTTGTGTCCGTAGAGGGTGAAATACGCGTCGACACTGAGCAAGTGGTTAACCAATCCCACCAGGCTTACAATGGTGTATGCCCGCAGCCGCAGGAATTCAGGTACGCATCTTAGTTTCACCCCAACATCTTCCATTTGTAGAAGCGCAAGCATGGTTGAGGAACTATTGCGTGACGCAGTAGGGATCGCGTTTCGTTTGCTTGTCACCCAGGAGGCATTGAACAAGCGCAGACTTTAAGGTGGACTTAATGAACCTGCCTATTCTTGCCACTTTGGCAAATCAGCGGGCATGGACGATCCATCGCTCAGTTTACGGAGGCTAGATGTTTTTTGAGGGGACTCAAGATCACAGTGTTTGATCACCTGGCAGCCAAGGGGACCGAAAAATTATTAGTATTTCATTTTTTTACTTCGGCTTACTGGGGTCAACTTATTTCCGCAAGTCTGCTCGATAATTTGTCCGTATATTCTAAAAAGACATATTTCCATTGGGCTTAAACAGTACTTTTTTTTGAAAGCGAATTCTAATTGACCCGAGGGACCTATGAACTGAGTGCATGGTGAAATGGAAGACTGTCGAACCTGAAGGATAAGTAAAGTGCTTCTGCGGGAATGTAATCCTGCCACCAACCAGCATCATTCCGCAATGTGAAATCATGCAAAGTGGGAATGGGTCGTAGAATGGGAGTACCATTCGAAACAAAGGATATGTAGACAATTATCTTTGTGGTAAGCGCTGACGGATCGCGAAATTTTGGGTGGCCGCAGTGTGATCTGAAGTTTTTAGTCTGATCACTATCACCATTCACATTTTTCTCTTTGCCGTTTGTAACTGTCTTCTTCGTATAACTGCTACCCTCGGTTTCGAATATTGTTGGTTTCTTCAGACTTAATTTGAAAAAGCGAAGTTAATAAAAAAACACAGACCGTATGGCGTCATTAAATTCTGCATGCTTTATCGCCTTCTGCGTGCGGTCACATCATCTGAACTTGCTCATTTAAGCACATGCGATGATGTCGAGGTTCACGTGGTTGCATTCTGGTGCCTGGATCTGATTCACTTACTATGCCTGCTCGCGTATCGCATTGTCTTTAACTTTATCTTCCTTAATAGCTCCCACGTAGCATTTTTCAGAATCTAATGACGTCATCTGTCTCAATTTGTTTTGTTAATTCCGTCATTCTGATCAGCAAAATGACAAAAGATGGAGATGCCGAAATCCTACGCGTGTCCTTTAAAGTGCATACCACGTGGTAGAATTCCAAAAGACGGAAAGGCGTTAGTTTATATTTTCTTCAGCATTTAATATATTTGTTCTCTGAGCTGCAGTAGTGACGTTTGCGGTTGTTTTATTTCGCAATGAGCGCATTGTCTGTAGTGCAGACAGCAACGATCGTTACTTTGTCCCACGCGCAATTGAATTGATCGTCTAGGTGAAATACTTAGATCGTGGCCATCTAGTGACCAAAGTCAGGCATCACTGAAAAACTGGTCGAGGTAACAGGAGGTAGTCTTTATATCTCAATGGAAAGCAAGTACACTTAATAACAAAGCTGTGGTTTGAAAATTTCATGCTACGATTTAACCGATTGACTTTAAGTCAGGTGCTGGTCTTCGCTATGAGAAAGGCTGTTGTGCATTTGATCTCCTCTCTAACACAATACGTAAATGTCAAACATTTTGGCTCAGTGTCTGGCAGTCTAAATGTGGTATAGCAGGCTGAAACTGAAAGTCGGCGTTGGTTATTGCGGAAAGTTAAAAATAGCAGCCAAGTAACTGACCTCTCTGAAAATGGTAGACTCTCCGAGGCACTGCACTCGCCAAAGTGAATGATTAGCCCTTCCGAGAATCTGCAGACCTAAAATAAACGTACTCGTAATCTGTGCTGTATTTTCACAGGTGATCTTGATGGTTCCACGTCAGCAGTTCAAAGGTGACGTATGTAAACGTATATTTGGCTTCAAGGTAGCCGCTTATAAGGCCATTGTGCTATATTAGGCTGATATGTGGGGTGGGGTGGGGTGGGATGGGTGGTTATATAGGGATTAGGTATGTTGCCGAAATCAGCCTGCTAAAGTAGTTTCATATGTGTGTGTGCGCGCAAGCGCTTCTTTTGCTTCCACCCTTATTCGCATCAGTTGGTATATAGATTAGTGCGTTATCAGGCGTCAAACGTAGTGCTAGGTGGATTAGTGTGACGTAAGTGCCACGTACTCACGTTCACCTACGTACAAAATGAGACTGCAATAGACACTGCCTGCCTAGAGGATACATATCATGCACACGTGGGTCCGCAGCAGTGCGCAAAGCCAGGTCCTGCTTCTATCAATAAGGTTGCGATATAACTGTGGAGGTGCCGCACAACCGAGTAGGCCGCTCATTCTTGGGGCGCGTGACCTCCTTGACGCTCGTTACTTTGTCGGTTTTGATCGTGAATATGATGGAACTGGGGTGTTCATCCGATCTATCTAGTTCGGACGTATACTTGTCCCGGAAGTGTCTCGAGGCTCGTACTTGAGCGATATCAGGAAAGGTGGAATTCAACAGTGCCTTAAAAGCCTGCACTTTGCTCCTTTCGATGACGACGAAAGTGTCGTCGACGTCTCTGAACCAGAACTTCAGGGGAGACGAGCTGAAGACCAACAGCTCGAGCCTCTGCAAAAAAGTTTCGGCAAAAAGGCCAGACAGAGGCGAGCCAGTTGGTGTCCCCTTCTTTTGTTCATAAACTTGGCCATGGAACGTGAACGGAGTTTTTGGACACAGTTCCAGGAGCTCGACGATGTCCACTCACTTGATTTTTTGGTCAGTTTTATCATATTTCTCTTGGAGAAGATTTTCAATAGTGTCGATAGCCTACCGCCTACCGGACGTTACGCACGCCGCTCGAGTCAGTTCAAACAAGGCCAATAGGAAGGCAAAGCCAACTCGAGCGTGGAGGAAAACTGCCCTCGGTCGAAAATAAGGGAGAAGCAGGCCAGAAACCACGCGACCAGCGTGGAACTCTACGTCACCGCCGCGCCCACGAGATTGACATCAACCCGCATGGGCAGCAAAAACTAGTTAGTCCGTTGGTCGACGAGGGGCTAGCCAGTCAGTACGCTTACTTACAACAGCCACAAAAGGGGCAAAAGTCACACGAGCCCACCAACGATTAAAACTCACGGTCAGTCAGCAACGAATAAACAGGTCAAAGTTCGTACGTCAAGCACGGATATAATACCAGGCACGCGGCAAGGCTGAAACAGTCCCGGTAAACAGGAACAATCACCAAGTTACTCTGACGATGGAACAAAGCCAGTGTCCGAAACGTCAGTCTCAATATAATTCAGTCAATGTTTTCGTACCTTCTTCTTCCTCTTCTTTGGGAGATGGTGAAAAGTATAAGATAGCTGGACCGAAAATCTTCACGCATATAGTGGGTACCCTGTTGGCTGCTATATTCTACAATATTGTGTATTCAGTAGCTGTCCTATGCCCACTGTTGCCTTTATGTCTGTACCACTGGATAAAATTACCATAATTCTGACCCTAGTATCCGCTGTGCAGATTTCCGATTCTGAGCACCGTAAGCCTCACCAACGTTTTGCTGATTCCGATCTACTTCAGTTGGTTGTGCTTCTACTCGAAAGTCTTCTGCTGGAGACAAGTGCCAGAGTAATAAATATTCACGTGACAGTTAACTATACATGCTTGTCCGAAATCTCTTAAATCGAGGTACCCCCAAATTGCGCCGTCGTAGATCCTCCAAGCTATAGCGTGATTGGGTAACGATGACATGTATGGCCGCCTAAAGAAGGCAGAATAATAGACGGCTCAACCTACCTAAAATGGGTTGCCTTGCGAAAACTTACATGAAGGGTAAATTTTCCCATGGTTTAACCCTAAAATAAAACTAACTGTAAGCTTAATCGATGATATAGCTTTACCCTAAGCCTAAACCTACAGGTAGCTTGAACTTTAACGCTAACCCTCGACGGAATTCTCACCCTATCACCATTTCTGACTTTAACCTCTACCCTAAACTTGACCTAAATCCTTTACCTACTTTGCATAGAATTTGGCGTAAAGCCACCTGCATTGTGTACGGCTCCTGTTCCTCTATTCTGTCTAGGCGGTCATACAGATCATCCCGACCGGGTGGAGTGCGGGAGTGTTAGACGATGTTATAAACTTCGTCACAAACCGCAAGTATGTAGGAGCGTTAATCGCTTCCATATGTAGAATACACCCTTTTCACTATTGCCCCTCCTGCGTAGAGAGCGGTAGGTATAACCAAAACTTTAAATATACATTTATTCCTGAAACTATATAAATTTGCCAGATTTTATGCTGATTGCTGTTAGGGGGTCGGGGACTATCTGTTATCAGCAATCAGCTTATTGTCAGCATTGTTATTACTTGTTTGCTGTAGATTTGTTTGTTGAATTTGTAGCACCCAAAAGCGTTCAACTGCACAGCCCATGTGAAAAGGAGGTATATTTGGTTTACCAATCAGCGAGACATTGCAGCCGCAGTCTAATTACTCTACGGAGAGACCAAGTGCGAATTTGATGCACGAACACCTTATCAATAAGCGCAAGGCTTGTACAGAGACGAAACTCTCAATATTACTTTCACAAGAACACAATGCGTTGACGAATGATGCTCCTAAATACATATCCAGGGTACCTTTGGTGCATTTTTATCAGCACACGTGTCAAATATTCTAATGGAAGCATCATTTTAGCAGCCCTCTCACCACCCCTTCTTCTTCGCCTCTCTGGTTCTAGATTTGCGATTTCGGCATGTCTAAGGAAATGATTGATATGAAGACCAGTACTAACGTGGGGACCTTCCTCTACCAGGCGCCCGAACGCCTCAACATTTCATCCCCCAATCGTCAAGGCTTCCGTATCCAATCTGATGTCTGGTCTCTCGGTTTGAGCGTCTACAGGATTGCCACCAATGAACACCCCTACCCTCAGCTCGTGGATAATCTTGAGTATATGACCAAAGTGCTGCAGAGTGATATCCCAACCCTGCCCGAAGGCGATGAGGAGCCCGAAGCGGCTGCAAGCTATTCCAACGTTATACGCGATTTCCTGGCCTTGTGTTTGGTAAAGGAGGAGAGTCAGCGCCCCGATTTTGTCACCCTCCTTCAATCTGCCTTTCTGGCACCTGTGGATCTGGCCAGTGTAAAGCCCGATTTCGCGGCCTTTGTGACTAGGATCCTCGCACCAGGAAACCGGGGCTGGTGATTTGTGGTGCAATGTGAACGACTGGCCGATCCAAAGATCATTAATTGTTCTATGTACTTGACGCACATCCTCTCGCGAATATTGATCTACCATCTTTTTAATATTATGGATTGAGCTCTTTGGTTTACGATAAACTATTGGAAATATAGACCTTCGCTTCTGATAAATGAACATCCTTGGAACACTCACTTTAACCCTTAGCTGCACGAGACAATTTCAGAGTCTTAGCTGTATTAGGATATACCGCTGCTTGGTACAGCTGGGTTTAGGCGCCGTGGAGCAGTAGCAGCTACATGGTTTTTCGGACGCGTCATAGAGCGGGTATAGAGCAGTTGGCTACCTTCGTGCAGTGACGAAAAATGGCGTTCCACTTAGGACTTTTGTTTGGAGCAAGTTTTGCTTTGCACCCCTTAAGGTTGGAGCTTGCCGCTGCGGCTCTCGTTATCAAACTATTCAAACAGACCGAGACGGAGGTAACACTACAAATTAAGTGCAAGTTTCTGCGGACGGATTCGATGGTCGTCTTACAGGTTACAAAATCACCACGTCACGTTTTGATCCATTTGTAGCAAACTTAATCGCTACCATAGTAAGCTTTCCAGACGCATCACATTGGCGATATATAAATTCTGAGAGTAACCTGGCGATAGTGGCTTCAAGAAAGGTAGCTGGCAACAAGCTAAAAGCGAATATGTGGCTTGCGTGTCCCACCTTTCTGAGCAGGAATTTGGACAAATGGTCCCGGGAATCGGATCAGCGGTTCGCTATATTTTCAGAAGAACACAAACCAATAGTAAATACGATCCTCACTGAGGACAATTGGCTAACAAAGTTTTCTAGCTATATCAGTTCGAATAAACTTCTAAGGCATATTGCACAGTTGCGACTATTTAAAGCCTACATAAAGGGCAAGGTCTTACAACAATCAAGGCCTATTTCTATACAACTCACTGTTGCAGATCTGGAAACTTCCACCATCGATCGAAAAAAGTGGTCCTTGTAAACTTAACTGAAGATGGTGTCAGGCTCAACATCTTTCTGATTTGTTCTGGAAAACATGGATCATCGCGTAGCTTCCCTCTTTGTGGGTCAGACAAAGGTGGACCAGTGGGGCCCCGCAACTTGCAATCGGGGATTTAGTCCTAATCGTCGATAAACTGACACTAGGCGGACTTTGGAAGAAGGCCACCGTGGAAGAGATTCTCAAATGAAACGACGGTAAAGTGAGAGATGTCGTACTGAGAACCGAACATGGAACATTGTTGAGGGACGTGGAGAGTTTGTGTCTGTTAGAAGACCGTGAAACATGCGACGAATGATATCTTCGCGAACGACACCAGATAACCCTGTGTGGGTGTTTACGCTCCCCCATATGATGTCCTATAGTCGCCACTTCCATCCATTTAACAGTAACATAACTATGTGCCTCCTTATAATTCTAGACGTGATACCTTACAGTTTATCCCTCTGGCATTAACGTTAAAACCATTTATATGACATTTCTATATTAGTCAACGCCATACAGCTTATCCAATAGTTGGTTTCACCCTTTTGGGTAATTACATCCTTTTCGTTTCCCATAAATCCTTTATTAGTTGTTTGAGGTTTCCATCTTGTTCTCACTCAAACTGACTTTATCGCGCTGTTTCTAAGCTTGGAGACCTTGTTTGTAAGTGTAATATTTATGTTTTCATAATCTCCAGTTATAGAACCGTAACAATTGTCTCATGATAGTTATTGATTCAATTACAAAGATAACGCGTTTAAATGACCGACGTAAGCACAAACAAACCGGCATTACACACTTGTTTATAGAGTACGCAATCAATTACAATTCCTCAAAGCTAATAATAGATGACTGAAAAAATAAAACCTTAGAAAATAGTGTCCCCTTTGTTGTGGTATGTTTTAAATTATTCTGCGTACTTATTGGTTACTATGTGACAATCCGTGAAGGACCAGTACGTCCAGTAAGCTGATCGGGGAACTTCATTCACGCGAAACTTAAAATGTAAGCCTTTTAGTTTCCTTAGAAATTAATCTTTGAACGTTGCGCAGATCAATGTTTCCAAGGTCTAGGGGCATAAACCGAACTTTCCTGTAAATATTTGGGTCGACGTCCATCAGTCACTGCAGGATAACCAGGTAATATTTACAAGCTGCCAACAGGCCTACAGTAGCATAACTTACCATACTGACAGCACAGATACTTACTGTTACCTACCTCGAACGATTTTTGACTGGGTGCCAATGTACAAAAATGTGAGCACATTTTGCTACCTTAACTAGTAACTGCCAGTCAAAAAAGCAACATTAAGTTATCAAAGTTGGGTTTAAATCTGTAGAAGGCTGTGCGCCTATATCGCTTGAGCAACGCTATTGTACCGAATCCGGCAATATTTTGGCAACACAAAACTGAATGATATGACCTTCCTAGAACTAACTGCTTTACACCACCCGATGACAAATGTTCGCAAGGCAGAACAGTTTTGCGCTAGGTGTGGTAAGCGCTATACCATGCGTTATAACAAGCGGTTAATTTGCCTCGATGTGTTTATTCAGTTGAGCATATATGTCGAAGGCCAATTGGAGTATGGCGTGAACACGTGCAGGTACAAGCTTCGAAAATGATGTCCTATGTGTGTGCCCATGAAGAAGACATTCTTTATTTGTTGGTAAGCGGGTTTTCCCGCATACCTAGTTTGACCTTGGGAAGTATTACGGGAGCTAGACTACTCCTCGGGTTGATTTATATAGGTGAACATCCCTTGTAGTCAAGCTGGAGCAATTATCTCTCTACACTAACTCCTCTGATTTAGAAATATAAACGC